TGCAATACCAATTATGCTTGTTTCTAGGCTATTTTGGGGCAATGTTGAGGCTTAAAGCAACAGCATGAGTACCTTTGAGGAATTTTACCAGACAAAAGTAAACAGAAAAGACCTTAGAGTCTGGAGAAAAAAAACAGATGGAGGCTGCAGGGTGTGAGATGATCAGACTTTATCTTCACCAAATCATGGACAGTTCACACCCCGGTTATGAGCCTACTCTGTGTGTGTGTGTGTGTGTGTGTGTGTGTGTGTGTGTGTGTGTGTGTGTGTGTGTGCGTGCGTGCGTGCGTGCGCGTGCGTGTGTGTGTGTGTGTGTATTTGGTAAGAGAGATTTAGCAGTAAATCCGAACTTCCTTCCTGTCTGAGCGATATCACAGGCCAACAATAACACACATACACACACATACACTCACTCATCTGTCGCTCTCTACTACTTGAGGGCAGTGCACACAGATCAGGCGGATCAGAAGGTTCCATGTGAATGGTACACACAAACACACACACACACACACACACACACACACACACACACACACACACACACACACACACACACAAACAATCCTGTCTAGAAGCAGGACAGCCTGGGAATTGTAGACACACTCTCCACCATCCTTCCTTAAGAAAATAAAGAACAGATAAGTACTGTATGAACTGCTGAAAATGAAAGTGTGTTGGACTTTCCTGCACAGTACTATTTTGCTAAAAATTAAATAAGTTGTGACTCACTGAAATGCACGACTGACACGATGTGGAATAAGATTCTCCTGAAAAAAATGGGGGCAAATTGTGAGGAAACTGATTATTCTTTTCACCCCTATTTCGCTTATAATTATGATGCACTAAAATAAAATAAACAAAAACCGCACATAAGGTTACAATGTCGCCCTACACTTTGTCCCTAAGGGATCCTTTCCTGCTGTTAATGTATCAGGAACAATGCTGACCTCAGCTGGACCAATTGTGTTACTGCTGTTGTTTACGCTCCTTTATGAAAAGCAGCGGGCATCAGAGCAGACTGAATTATGTAGCAAATCTCCCACAGAGAGAAGTCTGATGGAGCATACAATCAAAGAGAAAGCCAAAGACAGAAAGATAAAAGGAGGGGGTTAGACAGGCAAGACAGGGAGACAGCTGAAGCTGACATATACACATGGTAGGGAAAAAAAGAGGTGAGAGAGACATGGTCAACAGATAAAAAGCAAATGAGACAGACAAGCAATAAACAGACTAAAGCATCCCATGCTCAATTAATTAGAGAAGGAAAACACTGCAGGGCTCTCGGCTGCTTTAAAGACAGTTAGCCGTGTAACATCCACACAACAACACACCCACACTCTGAAACCCAGACACGTGCAACTACAGGCATGTACGCACACACCACAAAGGAACCTTGTATCACCTCTTTTCACGGCTTTTTAGATGAGGAGAGGGTGAAGAAAACCGGGATGAAAAGAGCAAGGAGGGAAGTAAATGACTTGGGCATAAAGAGGGGGGGGGCAGCAATGTGAGGAAGGGGGATGGGAGAGAGAGAAAAAGTAGAGAAGAGGAGAAACAGATATAAGGAGCATAAAGGGTGAGATAGAATAATGTGAAAGGATGCAGAGAGAGAAAGTGAGGAGGAGGCAGAGGAAGAGGAGGAGGGCACATTAGATGCAAGAAGAAGAGCTCAAAAATAAGAGTAGTGAAGTGCAGGGGAGAGGAGAGAGGAGTGGAAAGAGAGGTGCAGGCAGAGGAGAAAAGAGGAGAAGAAAGAGTGGAGACGCTGTGACCTCACATGCTCGGCTGCAATGACGCTTTGAAGATCATCTCAAGGTTGTTAGATAAGAGGGAAGGAACCCATCCAGGCAGAGGAGGAGGAATGGGGGGAGGAGTGGGGGGGTGACAAAGGAATATAGGGAAAGATTGTGATAGTGGGAAGACCAACAGGAGGTGAGGGAGGGGTAAAAGAAAAAGAGATATATATAAAGCAAAAAACAAAGAAGAGAGGATGAAAGGGAGGCGAAAGAGCTGGGAAGAGATGAGAGGAGGATCGTGTAATAGCGAGAGTGGTGAAAGTGGCAGAAGAAAATATTCAGTGACTCAAGTGTGAGGCATGCTGTGTGTGTGTGTGTGTGTGTGTGTGTGTGTGTGTGTGTGTGTGCGTGCGTGCGTGCGTGCGTGCGTGCGTGCGTGCGTGCGTGCGTGTGTGCGTGCGTGTGTGCGTGTGTGTGTGTGTGTGTGTGTGTGCATCTTGGCAGGAGTGATTAAGTACAATGAGCCTGTCAGCCAGTAAACAACCAGGCAGGCTGTGTTCCATACCTTAATGAGTTCCCCTTATCTGTTACTCTCCTCTCCTGCTTCAATGCATCCTTTACATTTACTCTTCTGTACATTAGTTCATTCACGGCCTCCCTCTCCACGTCCTATTATCATTCATCAGGCATCATCCACTTCTACTCCTCTTTCAATATACCAGCTCAAATGCTCCTTCTTTTTCTTTTTTCGCACTATTTCCCCCCCGCCCTCACTACTTCCCTTGATTCTCCTAGAAATAATAAAGCAGAAGGAGTGGACATTGTCACAGTCTTTCAGAATGTGGGATGCAACACAAGCAAAGTATCTTTTATGTCTATCGGACACCATTTAATCATATTCTCTACTAGAATAACACTGTACAATAATTTGTTTTTTTTAGCAGAGCCAGCAGCTTCGCTCTATGAGTGGCAATAAAAAGAAATGAAGACAAAGATTCATGGCCCCAAAAGGATGAAATGTAATAACTTTGGTGACCTGCAGACTTTTCATTTGGTCCCATAATTATTTATAATTACATTTTGTTCCAATACTTTGTCTTATAACCAAAAACCTCGACAGCGAGGTATCTACTGATTAATGAATTAATAAGCTAAACCAAGATGGTGAGCGCATTAAACATTAAAACTTTAAAACATTAGCAGTTTAGCATTGTCATGATAACAATTGTGAGCATTTAAATCAAAGCATTACTGTGCTTAAATGCAGCATCTCAGGGCCCCTAACCTGGCTGTAGACTCTCCGTCTTATTTAAACAATTTCTATGTTCAGTCGTTATTAAACCAAGTGGCTAAACATCCCATCAGAGGGCGTCGTGACTCATTGCTCTGTTTCTGCTTCGAGCTAATTTCTCTTCCATCAGACATGTAAGTTACAGGACAAGACAGGCGATTTGTCACAATAGACATCGTCACAAAAACTGGACTTAGACTCACTGAGCATGTTTACAGCATATCACACGTGATGCATGAGCTCTGTGATGAAGATTAACTTTGGAACATTGTGAAAACAGCATTGAAGTATTAGATTAGCTGAGACTCAATCAATTATTGCTTGAGATTTAGTAGTTATCAAATACTGCCAATTATTACTTTTAAATAGTCTCCAGATGCTTCACATTAATCTTTTCAATATTAGTCAGGTATCTGTGAAAATGTTCCAATCCCCACCATCTGGATATATCCTGCAACACACGTTACTTCTTGGCTGCACTTGGCAGATAAACTTCCACTCCTCTTAAACATATCCTGTTGAAATAACCTCAATCATGTTGGTGCCGTTCAAGAGAAATCCAAGACAGAAATATGAGATGTTCCATTAAACTGTGGAAGAATGTGTTACTGTGTCCAATGATCTTTTAATTTAGTAAAAAGTAGTCCATCATATAGGCTGTTGTTCGTCAAATGTCAAATTGAAATGTCAATGTTAGCGTGACTTTTCGGTTCTGAAAAACGTACACTGGCTTCTCAGCCCCCTTTCGGCACATGTTGACATCTAATAAAAAAACACCTGATCATGACTTGAACTCATGCCTTCTAATGTGTTGCAGGCCGTAAATCAAATTAACTGCAGTCATATCTAGTTAATGGGATTAGAGCGAGGACACACTGTAGGAGGCATCAATCTGGTCTGGAAGTCAGCCATGAATTTGGTTCTTTCACATCTCACAGGGTCTCCTTGGCCAGCTGGCAGGGGCTGTTGATTTACAATAATATCACCTCATTTTGCTGCAGTAAGGATTTCCGAAAATGTACAACATATGCACTAAGGAGAAAAGCGTACGATAATCCATATAGCATTTTGGGAACGTTGCTTTTAAATCCTAGAGACTCAGATTTAACAATAGATGAACAGCAATAGAAACTGGAGGAATGACATTTTAGGGAATACCTATCAATACTTTGCAGGTAATGTATGGACGTTAAATATAAAAGGTACAGTGAGCTGCTAATTAGCCTAGCCTAGCATAAAGACTGAAAAGTTAGCTTGGCTCTGTTCAAATATTTTTTTTAAATCTGCTTACACACACCTCTATACTTTCCTAAACAGTTTATATCAAAATACACTAAATTAGGTCTAAAAATGAAAAATTGTGGTTGGAATATAAATCCATAAATATGTTTTTCCTATAAAAAAAAACATGATATTCTTTAGGAATCAATATAAATCTACTGTACCAATGTAACTTTTCAATTATCAAAACCAAGTGAACTATTTAAATTCAAATTCTGTGGTACTAATTCTAAATAAAATAAGAGGGTGCATTAGCAAAGCCCCCACCCCCTTTATATGTATTTAAAAACTACCATTATATTCTGAATTAAGACATACAAGACATTTCAAATGCTCATAAACTGTAAAATACTGATATTTTTATTTTTCAAAAATGCAGCAGAAATGTTTATGCTTGACACAATCCAGCCATCCGCTGAGTCAATAAACCCATATGAAAAAAATATTCAGTCAATCAAACATCCTTTAAATGTTATTTTATATCATTTTGTAAAAGTTCTTTGCTTGTCATCCACAGATTTTTCAGCTTTCATTTTTCATGTGTTCTGTTGATAAATAACTAATATCTCTCATGAAGAAGTTACTTAGGATGAGAGGAGGTTAAATAGGCCTCACTGTGACAAAGCTGCATGTAGTCGCACAGATGAGGCTGGGAGG